GATAACAACGTAGATTGGGTTTGTAGAAAGTTATTACCAAAAATATTTTTTTATTAATCTGGTATCCATTATATATTAAAAGAGAAACATTCTAAACCACTTTTGCTTAGGTGTCAATCCCACAAAAATTTTAAGTTTTTTTAATAATTAAATCATATAATAATTATCTCCTACAATCCTACTATCCAAACACTATTCTTAACATTTTTATTTATTTATCTAATTCTTTTATACTCATTACTAAACACAATTATTTCAAAATATTACCTATCATTACTCTAAATCCAATTGCCAAATAAATTTGAATATTCATAAATTTGCCAAAAAAACTATTTCAAAATTTAATATTAAATCTCACAATTAAATCTACATATAAATTCTCTATATATAATTTGACAAAAGTAAAATAAATTAGTTTTCATATTTATATTTGAAAAAATTTATGAACATGTAAAATAATTGTTCAAAATATATTTTAACAATAGTTGATATATAACTAAATACATTTTAGATTGAAAACAATATTATTCGTTTTTGTTTGGAAAAATATGTGTTAGAAATTAAAAGTTGGGTAATATAAATAAACCATACTATAACTAAAACTACGTAAAAAATTAGTAGATCAAATAAATTGAGATAAAATACTGCTAATTAATTCAAAAATATAAAACAGATAAACAAAGTAAAATTTTGTACCTATTCGAATTATTATATATTTTTGTTTTGGTTCGAATTGGTAAATTTTGATTCGGTTCGGTTCACTTTATGTATTTTTTTTTATTCATCAGTGCAACACATTACTATACAAAATAAAAAGTAATTGCAAATTTGAATATACAGAAACAAATATGAAATTTCATTCTATATGTTCATTTCATCATGCGCACAGCGCGGGTACTATCCTAGTTTTTATTTAAACGAAAAGATATACAAATCCGGCGAAAATAAGTTACATCCCCAAAAACAAAACCATATGAAAAAAGCTTACAAAGAAAAATAAAAAACTGCATGAGCACGAAATCTGCAAACAAGGCATATCAAAAACCGATTTAAATCTGAACCTAGCTAGGTAAAATACCAAACCCTTAAAAACCTTGTAAACTTCTGGAAACCATTGGAAAAAACATACCGAAGAAGCCTATATAACACGGACAAACCATCTTACGAGCATCCTCCCATCTAGCCGAAGGTCTACCTCTAGCTATAATTGTTTTAATTTCTGATAATTGATTTACGACTGTAGATTTAAACAGCTAAACTTAGTTAGAAGATTTAAAAAAAAAAAAAAAACTTAGTTAGAAGATATGATAAACCAATGTATGCATATGTTACTATCTACTCATATTATGTGCAAATATTTTATCATCCAAAAATATCCAATCAGGTTATATTTAAGAAGCTACGATTATTCAACATAGAAGAAAAGGACACGACCTATTCCTTGTAGACAATAATTAAACTCTTGTTGCCCATATTGCTGACATAATTCACCGGGGACGTCGCTTACAAAGACTTCTAGATGTAGAAGAGGGAAAAAAAAACTTCTAAAAATGTGGAGATGAATACGAAAATAGTCAGTTTTGACCAAACCAGAAAACAAAAAAAAAAATATATATATATATATGGAGGCAGAAAATTAGGATTACACTATGATACATATTGTTTACTCAGAAGTGAGTCTACATACGTAAAGAATGAGAGGAATAACAAGAATATAAGAAACCTTACTTGATGTTTGGTTTATTTTCAAGATATTATGGTAAACTTTAAAGTGAGAATATATATAATTAATTCACTGAATCAAATCAGACCGAAGTGTTTTTGAACCAACTACCCACTGAAATCACTCTATAAGCTGAAACCACTATAAATATGGCATTGGTACGTTATTTTATAACCGATAAACCAAATTAAAATTCTATTTTTATTTATAATTCTTTGGTTAATCAAGAGATTTCAGGTCGAGATCCATATATCTCCTTAGACAGGAGACCAAAGAATAATATGATTCATTTCTAATATATGCAACTTGACCTCCGAATCCAAAGATCCCAAAAAATCTCTTACGC